AACTCCTAATTTGTATCACACCCATAAAAATTAACAAGAGAAAAGTTTTCCGACACACTTGCAAAGGGCGCATTTACGGACTACCCCATCAAAAAGCGCCCATGCCTCTCATGTAAAAGCGCCCTATTAAAAACAACGGTTTGCCACCTAACTAAGTAGCCTATTTGAACGTGTCAGCCCATTAACCATTTATGCCTTGAAGGCTAAGGTAATGGTAAGGCGAGCACTCTAATAATCAAAGTGTTAAATGAAATGTGTCCCAACCACCAGATGCTGTTTCTCTGGGTTGAAGAATAGGGCGCAAATAGGGTGGGCGCAATTACGAATGGAACACATTTTTCATGAGCTTCAAATATGGCGAGGACAGCGAAGCCACGGTGGTGATAAACTTTCAAAACTACCATTAAACGAGCAATTAACAATGATTATTAGTTGAATCACTATCTCTAAGAATTAAGATAAACCATGACACTAGCAAAGGTCGAAATCATAGGCGTAGGAACAGGGGGGGGGGGGCCAGGTGGGCAAGTGCCCACCCACTTTTCGAGGTGGGGGGGCCAACCATGTGTTTTGGCCCACCCACTTTTTACTCGAGGCCCCTCGTCTCGATTTGAGAGGACGTCGTCACCTTCCAGAATAAACAAACTCGGTAAAAATAAGTTCCACGAATCCCCACGCACGGACTCCAAGGGGCCGTGATGGATCCAAGGAGGCCCTCTGTTCATACTTATCAGTCGAAGCCCATGAGACTGATGGCCTGAGAGGCCCTAGTGGATCTGAGGAGGCCCCAATATCCACACTGGTCTGGGAGGCCCCTCCATTCACACTAGTCAGAATAGGCCCCTGACACTGGCGGTCTAGCCGAGGCCCCCTACCCTCACTAGTCAGAGGAAGACTGATGGTCTGGGAGGCCTATCCATCTACACTGTAGTCAGAGGAGGCCCCTGAGACTGATGACCTGAGAGGCCCTTATAATCACACCAGGCAGAAGAGGCCCATGATACTGATGGACTGAGAGGCCCTTCTATTCATACTGGCCACAGGAGACCCCCAAAACTTTCGGTCTGGGAGGTCCCTCAATCCGGCACCAGTCAGAAGAGTCCCCTGAGACTCAGATGGTCTGGGTCCTGAGAAGCCCTTATATTCACACTAGGCAGAGGAGGCCCCTGAAACTGATGGTATGAGAGGCCCCCATATTCACACCAGTCAGAAGAGGCCCCCGAGGCTGATGGCTGTGAGGCCCTTCTGTTCATATAACTGGCCACTGGAGGCCCCTGAAACCGGTGGTCTGGGAGGGCCCTCTATCCACACTAGTCAGAAGAGGCCCCTGAGACCGATGGTCTGAGAGGCTCTTATATGCATACTGGCCACAAGAGGCCCCTGAGACTGATAGTCAGAGAGGTCCACTCGTAATGAATCTGAGGGGGCCCTCTATCCACATTTACAATTTTCTATGGAGGCCCCCGGGACTGATGGTCTGAGAGGCCCTTTTATTTATACTGTCCACAGGGGCCCCCTGAGATTAATGGTCTGAGAGGCTCTTCTATTTATACTAACCAGAAGAGGCCCCTAGGATTGATGGTCTAACAGGCCCTTCTATTTATACTAGCCAGAGGAGGCCCATGAGACTGATGGTCTGAGTGTTGAATAGGTCATCTGCCTATTCAAACTAGGCAGATGAGGCCCCTGAGAATGATAGTCCGAAGAGCCATGCGGCGGCAACTGGCCGTGGCCATATTTCGGCTCGGTAGGGCCCCACAGAGCTCATGAGAGCACCTCAAGGGCTCCTAAGTAAACACGCTTATGGGTGCCACGCCGGCTTCTGAAGGCTCCTTGTAGGCATCTAAGGGCCCTTTCCGGCCTCTAACGGCTCCACCCGCCTGTGATGGCTCCACACCAGTGTTTATGAGCGCCACACAGCGGCGCCTTTGAGGGTCATACTAGTGTCTCTTAGGGCCCTATATCGGTGGCTCTGGGGGCCCCACACCGGCGCCTCTGTGGGCCACCACACCTGTGCATCTCAAGGCTCTATATGTACATCTGAAGGACCCACACCGACACCTCTGAGGGCCCCACACCAGTATCTCGGAGCTCTGAAGGCCCCACACCGGTGACTCTGAGGACTCACCGGCTCCTGAGAGCACCATGTTGATGTCTAACGGCTCCACAAGGCCACTGAAGGCACCACACAAACTCTCACTGAGCTCTAATCTCCATGTACCGGCCTCTGAGGGATTTAAGCCAGCGCATTCATAGCTCCACACCAGCAATTGTAAGGGCTTCACACTGAAGTATCTGAGGGTTCCACACCGGTGTCTCTAAGGGCCACATACCGGCATCTCTGAGGGCCCCATACCGGCGTCTCCGAGGGTCCACATCTGGCGGGCACCCATCAGCGACTGAATGTCCCACACTGTCGACTCCGAGAGCCCCATCTGCGTCTGGGAGCACCATGCCGTCTCTAAGAACCACAGCGGCTCCTCCGTACGAAGGATGGGCGTCTCCATGCCAAAGGGGAGCGGTTCTGAGACAGTAGGGCACCGACGTGCAATAGAGGGGCGCCTATGAAGCCCATAGGGGCGCCTCAATGCGAAAGAGGGGCGCCTCTGAGGCCTACATATATGGGCGTCCACATGCAATAGAGGTCTGCAAATTGCAATTGATCATTGCCATTGGGGTGCATTCATAAGAAACAGGGGCGCCGGCATGGCAAAGAGAGGCGCCTTCAAGTGTCTATAAAAGAGAGACGCCTATGATAAGCGCACAGTGTATGCGACAACGGGGCGACTGTGGGACATTTAGGGATGTCTCTGATGACTATAGGCACATAGGGCGCTTATATGCCAAAGAGGGCGCCTATGAAGCTAATGGGGGCACCTGGGAAACGAGGAAGACATTTGTGTAAGGGTTTTCAGGGGTCATGCGCCGTTTGCGGCAAATAGATTCTAAAAAAAAAATCGGAGGGGGAAGAAGTTTTAAAAATGGTGCGGACTTTCCGCACTGTTCGCTTTAGCGGTTACGCCCCTGGGTACATCTGCCCGATCTCAGAAGCTAGATTTGGAGGTCATACTTGAAAGCAGCCAGCAGGATGAGGCAAAAGTTGGAGGCCCCTGAAAATAGGAGGCCCCCAGGAAAAGGAGGCCCCTTGACAGGGTGGCCCACCCACTTTTCATGACGTTCCTACGCCCGTGGTCGAAATAGACTGTTTCGCGTAAGAAAATAGAGGAAATCACAAAAAAATGGTCTGCGAGAAAGCTGAGACACCTCACTTGCCCCCGTGGACCGGAATAAGAGCGAGTTATTGGTGGTGAAGTAAATGCACACATTCGAGTATTCATTCGAATCGAATTTTGGACAGGAGGAAGGCGTGGCGCATTTAAGAACATGGCGCAATATGACCTCTCTCCCCGCTGACTGCTGAGTGACACGCCAGTATTATCAGACGGTAGCCACCGCTTCCAACGTGTCACACATTGACAGTTTCGGGAACTACATTGGGTTTTTCTGGCAGTTTTACTGAGACGATGTGTGGATATGATGTCTGACGCACATAGCTATAGGGACGGCTACTCGGAGCAGACGCTTGTCAGATACACAAGCGTACGCCGTCGGCTACCAAACAGGACACGTGACACGCGTCTCACATGACACGTGACACGCCACGGGCAACTCCACCTCCTTGCAGAGTCCGTGTCAGACGGGTCAGCGCTGGTTTTTCATTTGCCATTCAGCACTACTGAAGGTGACGGCTTAGAGCGTCACTGGCTAAGATCGCCGATGAGAGCTAAAGCCAGCCAGCCTCCATCGCGGCTCTGGACAGCTCTGATGGAAAGCTGCGTTTTCTGAGAGCTTCAATAGAAAGCTTCTTTTGGTGCCGGATCGGATGAGTGAGGGCGGGAGTCGAAAGCGGCACATGGAGAGCTACAAAACCATCCCGCCGGGAGGTCTGCCACGGTGCCCACTCGCTGTGCGAAACGCGTCACGGACTGTTTGGCTGTATTCCGCTCTATCCGGGAGCTGATTTTCTTGCATGGTATGCGACAGATTCTGAGGCTGTGTTGCTCTCACGGACTGTCCCATTTTCCTGCATCTCACCGGCCCGTTCCGTGTGGTGACTCTGGCCGACTCAGCCACGGAAAATGGCCACTGGCTGGCAGTGGTTAGCCGTAGACTGTCTGGTGCTTACCACTCGATCATGGATTATTGGAGACACCAGCCGCAGCCCGCTGGGCTCATACGGTCTGCCGCGGCTGCACCTTCTTCACCCGGCACTCCTGCCGTCTGGCCGGGAACCCATTGTCTAGAATGGGATTCTTAGCCAATAGGTGGACTACCAGACCTGAAGAATAAAACATTGGAAGTCGACTGAAAAGAACAGCGGGAAGGATTCTGGGTGAAAAAAATGCCTCAATTACCGAGCTGCAAATGATCACTTCCAGTCGAAAGCCCGGTTGCCGAGCTCTAAGCCGGTAGCCTGGTCCTTAAACCCTCTAACTAAGCCGATGATCAACTCTTAGAGCTCGTGCTGAGTAGAAGGCGGGGACCGTGGCTCCTATCGACCGCAGCCCCGTCCTATTGGAGGGCATCAGCTGGCCTGTGTCATAATTCACTACGCCGGTCGGTATCGGACCGCTGATCACCGTGTCGTATCGAGCGGTGTGCGTCTGCAATGACGTGGGCCTATTTCAGATCCACCGACGTTTGGTAAAAAAAGAAAAGGTATCATCCAGCCAATTGACAAATAATGGGCGCCATCGATACTTTTCTGCGGCACATTATGTTGACTCGGCGCCCTCGTGTTATTTTATTATTTCATTATTTTTATAAAGCTCGTTTGGTTTGTATGTAAAACGATGCTGGTGCTCTCGTTACCTACATGTCATGCTATTTATCCATATTTTGTTTTACATTTCCGCTTGAACTGAATGATTTAATCAACCCTGTAGCTAAAGCATCGTTATCGATTTATTTCATTGATTTCCGTTTTGTTTCGTTTCAAGGACGCCGCCTCAGCTACCTGCCGGTGTAATGAATCGTCGTCGGACCTGCAACCAAACTACCGGTCTATCAGACGTCACTGCAATCTAGCCCGGGCCATATCCACAGCACCGGAACGGCGAGCTTTCGGACGGCGCCCGACGCACAATGCGCATAGTGCTGGACAGTCTGTGGCCGCGGGAGAGGGAGAAGCCTGTCAGTCCTCTCCGTGCTGCCTCCCCGGGCTCGCCAGGCTCTCCTCAATCAGTGATGTCCTCAGGACAAAGTGACGGCAGTGGACGGAAGACGCGCTGGCTCACCGCCATCGCGCGCAACAAGAGCGTGCGTCGCACTTCACAGAGACTCCAGGAGTGGCTGAGCAGCGAGAGTCTGAGTCAGACTGCCGCTCCGACCCAGTCGCCCCCTCCAGTCACCTCCCGATCGGCCAGAGACACGGGTGACTACGGCTTTCTCGAGTTCTACTCCGGGAGCCGGCGGCGGGCTGCAGCCGGGGACACAGCGCCGCCGCCGCTCCCGCCCCCGCCCCAGCAGCAGTCGGGGCCGACGCTGGCACCGCTGCCCGACCTGTCGACGCTCAGTCGTCGAGGGAGTTACGCCGAGTTTTATCCGGGTGCTCTGGGAAGCTGCAGCCTGCCGAGGGACCTGGCTGAGGTTGCGGCCGCTGCTGAGGAAGCGGCCCTGGCAGCCAGTCCCCGTTCGAGAGGGGATGCTCCGACCAGAGCGCTCAGGGCCGGCCGTCAGGACGCAGTGGAGTGGAGAGGACAGGGGCGTGTCTCACAGGTGGATGAGTGGAGCATCGGCTCACGTCAGACGCAGCGGGGACGACCGACGCGACTGCAGGGATCGGAGAGGGACGGTGACGGTCCGCGGCGGTCGGGAAGCAGCACACTGAGGGCGACTCGCTGCGTCTCTGGGTCTGGATCACAGCCGGCGCGATCCGACTCTGTCCGATGGCCGCGCCTGCAGCCGGGAGTGCCAGCGCCATCCCTCTCCTTCTCCCCTACCAGCTCCCGATCCGAGTCCTCCTCTCGCTCCCTGATCCCTCCAGCGCCCCTCCGCCCGCCACCTCCGGTGCCTCTGACTGCACCACTGGAGAGCAGTGCCTTCCCCTCCCTACCAGCACCTCCCCGGCCAGCCAAAGGTCTGTTCCGCTCGATGAGCATCTCAGGCCACCTGAACGATCCCTCGGGCGGTGCGTACTTTGCGCGGAACACCGCCGTGCGCCGGTCTCGCAGTCGTGACGACCTGCGCTCAGGTGTGTGGTCGGACCGGACGGTGTACATGTACCCTCCGAACGGTTCGTACCGCTCACCCGTGGTACTGGTACCGCGAGCGCCACCGGCCGCCCCGGAGATCACCCCTCGTCACCGGCCCGTGCGGCGGACAGAGTCCACTATACAAGAACGGAAGAGTCGCAGTCTGTGTACGCTTCTGGAGGAAAGGAACTTCGCCAGCCCGAGCCCGCTGCCGCCGCCCACCACGGATGTGGATAGCAGTCTTTCGCCCAATTCCAGCTGGGAAGAAACAGCCAGCACCACAAAGACGAGCCTCCGAACGGAAGTGACGCCATCAAAACCGAAGGCCCCTCAGGTGTACTATCTGCTGGATGATTACCTAACTCCGGTGAGCGGCGACCAGGCCAGCAAGAGCTCCTCCGAGCCGGAGGTTCCGGATGACACCCGACGCAGCGAGGGGAGCCGGAGCCGACCTCACGTGGCAGCCTTCTCCAGCCCCAGTCCGGACAGCCCGGAACAGTGGCGACGGAGGCCCACCAGACCGGCCACGCCGCCCCTGTCGGCTATCAGAGGCACCAGCGACCACCCTCCGGCCCCTGCGCCGGCTCCGAGACGCGCCCTGCGGCCACAAGTCTCTCCCGAGCGGCACCTACGGGAGACGCAGCTCCCCGGTGCCGGGCCCCGACAGCGGGAGGTGGAGCGCATCCGCGCCGCCTACCGGGCGCGGCTCGAACTAGAGCGTGCGCGACCGGCGCCAGTGGGCGCCTCCTGGCACGAGGCCAACCCGCTACCGGCGCCGAGGCGACCTCAGCAGCGTCGCCCTCACCGAGAGGTACCAGATCGGGCCTGCAGCTGTCAGAGGTGCCAGCAGGCGGCCGGGGACCGTGAGCGTTCCCTGAAGAGACGCTCGTACGCCGACCCGCGCTATGCCACTCGTCTGGAGGTGAGCCGTCGGTGGTGGCCGGTGGTGAGGGGGCTGAGGACTGGTGATGGTGCTGGTTGCTTGTCTTATAGTTAGTGGTGGCGGTGGTGGATGTGAGCGTGGCATACTATCTGAACGCGAAGAAGAGGAATTCAGCATTTCTCTGCGGGCAAGTGTGTCTAAAAGTTTGCCAATTGATCGTAACAATTAACCTTATGATGATAAAGAAATCATCGTCTAAATGAAACCAGATAAGCAGATCATATTCTTACTTATTCACCAAATGTTGCTGACAGATATTCTCCTAGGTACTCATAGACTTTTAGTTGTAGGTAAGTTGCATCAGGCTTTTACGCTCCCAGGGCTTACGGGTTCCGACATATACCCATTTTTAGCATGCTTTGTTCGTTTGAAATGAGAAGCGAACATTTATCCAGGCATCATAATCCACCGAAATCAACAGCCGCTGGATGCTATAATAGGGACTATAATTGTAGGCAGCAATTAAGCAAATTAACATATTTGGAATCACGTGACTTTATACCTTTAGTTATTAAATTCTGCAAGGTTATGTTTCTTGTGTTTCCACATCTCCCGAGCATCAGCCTCTGCAGTAACTATTTATGGAATAACACGCCGTTTGATGACTTATCCGTACCACTGACCCTGCCACTGCAATAGCTGTGTTTGGTGTGTACCTGCCGGACTCTGGGGCGGGGTGGGATGCCGGGGGGCGGGGCGGGGGTGGGGGAGGCTCACCAGCCCGTGATTGGATGTGTGTCGGCTGGGGTCGATGGCGTTCAGGTGAGCCTGCCGCTGGCTCAGGGAGGCTGCGCAGCTCTGGCGCGCGGACGGTGGCCGACCGTCGTGGCCGACTGGTAGGAGTCACTCGGTCGGTGGGCCGGCGGCAGCAGCGAGCCGCCCGCTCTGCCCAGCGACTCTGACACTCGTGACCGTGACCTGACCGTGACCGTGACGGAGGCCGAGTCCGTGACCGTGACCTTGACCTGACCGTGATAGAGACCGTCACCGACTCCATGAATGTGAGCGAGTTCATGACCGTGGCCGTGATCTTGAGCTGCAGCAGTGACTTTCAATAATATCACTGATCGTATTTTAGATCACGACCGGGACTGATAGATAACTCGCTAGACTGGACCACGTGACGAGCCACGTAACTCGTGAGTCGTGAGGGCAATCAGTGGTCCGCGGCCGACCCTGAAGACGGATGGCCTAATCACACGGAGAAACCTCTCGAGTAGCTCAAACCATGCCCAATACTCGTGGCCCGTGACCGGTGACCGTGACCTATGACTGGTGACCTGAGGTCAGCGTGGTGAGGCGAAGGCCGCGCGAATGTGCTCAGCGGGTGCGCGCCGCTATTTAACGTACCCGTGGCGAGCGCGCGACATCCGAACCTGGGTAGGTAGCCCGTGGGTATCTAATTGGCATCGTTATTCGTTGGCTCATAATACTTTCCTACTTACGCCGATTTTTTTACACGTTTTTGCAGTCGTAACCCTAGGTAAGACAGTCAATACATTTTTGTTCACCTGCTTCACCACTACCGATGCAGTACATATTGTAATGAAAATACCGAAGCAGATTTTTCTCATGATAGTTTCCAGTAATGTGTTGTTATATCACTCTCTTTTAAATTATATCTGTAGGTACCTACTTTCTGATTGCCGACTTTGGTGGTGATAGGTTTTGATGATGCTCTTCTAAGGACGAAAGACAGCGTAATGGCGACATTAAATCAGCGACGACCATTACGTATACCCACCTGTCTTAGTTTTCACCGCATGAAAACGGACTAAAACAAACTTTTTGATCAGTAATAAATTCATGAGAGTTGCCATATAGTCGTAGCATACCCCGGTGCGGTCCGTGTACTAGCACCTTTTTCCTGTGTCTACCAGAACCGTCGGCACCTCGTGCAGGAGCCTGGAGCGTCGGCCACCCCCGGTCAGCCTTCGGGACCGCGTGCTCATCATCACAGAATCAACGGCCATGTTCCCTCCGAGGTGAGAGAGGAGAGAGAGGGAGATAGAGCGAGAGAGAGAGAGAGAGAGAGGGGGAGGAGAGCGAGAGAGGGAAGTTAAGAGGGGGTTCCGATATTGCTAGATCATCTTTGATTTAGAGCAATGTAATTAATATTGGAGCAGTGTACACATCGCTGAATTATAATTTCAAAGGTCAATTACCTCTAATTGCGCCAAGGCATTCTCAATTCAAACACGGTTATCAGTGCAAACAAACCATCATCTTAGTTTGATCTTATTCTCGACTTAATCTAAGCTTGATCCAAGTTTGAGCTTGCATATTAGCGATTGCTTCCTAACTATTCCCAATCCCATAGCAAGCCCCGAATGAAAAGATTCCTCTGTGAAGTCTATTATCATTTTTCGTTCCTCTGCAGCGCTGCAATGGCGTCCTCGGCTCTGCGGTCCATCAGAACGGTTCGTCGGCAGCTCCGGGGGGCCGCGAGCCTCCGGATGGTCCCCTGCGGGAGGCGAGTGAGAGTCCTCCACAGCGAGAGGTGCGCACTGATCCACACGGTCGGCAGCTGCCCCTCAGCCCGGCAGGTAAGAAAAGAACACAGAGGGTCCCCCAGCTGCCCCTCAGCCCAGCAGGTAAGAACACAGAGGGTCCCCCAGCTGCCCCTCAGACTGGCAGGTGAGAACGTGGACACAGGCCCTCCCTCCCAACCGCCGGTGTCCCCTCCACCCATTTATGTGCAGACAATTTGCGAATACTTGCATAATTGCAATTACGGTGCTGAAATTTAATTTCACGGAATGACCGCTGACGCTAATGGATTCTCGCATAGTCCTAGAGATAGGCACCCACGCACTGTGCTCGCGTTAGCCGGTACAATTATGTGCTTCCTACAGCCACAAATGAACCGTTTAAAGCCCGCGTGAACTCAATAATTCTACTAGTAAATGTACTATAAATAAACGTTGATAAAAGGGTGGATATTACTTGCACCTTTTAACGATCTTCTAAATTGTAATCCGATGCGACCGTACTAATTTGTCGAATTAAGTTATAAATCCGGTTGGAACGCAGAGGTTACCTTCTTACCTGTTACCACTTTTAAATGATGTCTTAGTCTAACAATGCTCCCAAATGGCTTGGTAGACGGCAGCCAATGGTAACAAAAGGTCGACATAATTTACGAACAGTATACACTACATATACATACGCTGCAATATTGCTAAAAGGAGGAGAATGGGGTTTTCCTCACTTCTTATTTTGACATGCCACTGAAGATCAATTTTCCACACTGATCACTGCTTTTATTGAGAACAGTCCACCCCAGTGGCCACATCGAACGGATGTGGGTGGGGAGCGTCACTCAACTGTCGTGGACAATCGTTTACCGCTGGAGTAGCCGAGTGGCCGCCCTGTCCCTCGCTGCTCCGCCCATCGCTCGCTCCGGCTGATGGGTTATCGGCTCACGCATGGTCGGAAAACCGGCTGAGAGATGGGCGGTAGACAGTCACATAAATGGGAGCGGTCGCCTGTCACATGCCACGGGAACTGTCACATTGCTGACAGCTGTCACATGACTGGCTCCTGTCGAGTGTCGGACGTAAAACGGGCGACGTAAAGTGGAGGCGTGGGATGGAATTATGATCGGAGCGTGGGCTGTAATGGTGAGTGAAGCGAACTGCCGGCGTGGTGGAGCGTGGGCAATGGACGGAGAATATAGCAGGATGAAAAACTCGCGAGTGCTCGGTCACCTGTCGCTCTGACATAGTAACCTGATCGCTCGTAATGTACACGGCGAGAAGCCTATTCATGGGCCAGTGCATTATTTTTAGCACTAGTTGTCGCGCCCTTTGATAACTTCGTGTCGAGGCTGCTGGATTTACGCCGCTGATCGATGACGATGAACGAAATTAGCTCGGAGAAGCCGGCAAACTGCACGGACAATGACCTGACCTGACCTTCAGGTGACCTTGACATCCACCCTAATGCATGGGAGCAACAGCAAATCACATGTTTGAACGTTTGAAACCACGAAAAGCTTGCAAACGCGCGGCTAATGCGAGCCGACATACGCCGAATAACGATTCCGGCCAAATATGGTCTCGAGAAATAGGTCACAGGTCAAAGGTCACTTGGGTCAGGGTCATGAAATTTTCACAGTAGGTAGGTGTAAAATTGATAAACTCGAGAGGACGGAAAGTTTCGTTGAAATCGGTCGCTTTTTGCGCGAGTTATTCGCGAAAAACCATGGAGGTCTATCCGACCCCCCCCCCCCCCCTGCACATGCGAGGGTTAAGCATATTGACCGTTTCGTTGCAATTCGTCGATATTTACGTGAGGAAGTCACTCAAAATCAATGGAATTCCATCCGGCCGTCTCCCTACGCTATAATAAAGTCAAGATAGTCAACCTTTTAAATATCCCATCAAATTAACATTCTTTAATCAGAATGTTGGCAACTACATTAATCCTATTCCATCCACTGCTAGCGTATCACCAGGTATCGTTAAAATGACTGATACCTGTGTCAGTGCCACCGTGGCATCATCGACTTAAGAGCTGCATCGACCGTATGCTTGTAGCTGGTACGGTATCGGTAATTCCCCGTCAGCACTCTGATAATTAAAACCAGGGCTAATTGGTATCACCTTGTGATCTCCGTCCAGCCAGAATCTGCATTGTACAATATTGATTCCACGAATTGATAAAAACATGGCACACCTCAACTAACTTAACCTCAATTTTGCATAATACCAGTTCGACAGCGACAAAATTGACTCGCTACTAATCACCAATTAGTTGGTTCCCGCTGGCTATCTTCTCCGCTCATGTTTGCCAAAGTAACGGTATATAGCTAACTAACGTGTGCGTTTGTTTTTCAGACGCGGTACAACACTACGGCTCGTACCTGACTGAATATGAGCTGGAGGAGATTGACCAGTACGAGGAGACCTGGTTCCTCGGGCTCGGGGCCAAGAAAGTCGCCGGCGACGAGAACCGACAGCAGAACGCCGGCTTCGACGACGAACACGGCAGCTATATAAAGGTACGGCAGAGCACGGTATAGAGTGCGGCAGAGTAGGTACAGCAGGGTATGGTTGTTACATCAGGGTACGATAAAGTACTATAAGCATTTATGTACGGCAAAGCAGCAGTAGCTAACTCAAGGTAGGTACGGCAGAGTGCGACATATTACGGCAGAGTACGGCAGGTACGCATCAAGTTAGGATCAAGTTATAGTGTGTCAGATACATTTAGGTAAAACGTGATAAAATATGCGTCTCCGACAGTCACATAAATGCAAAGCGGAAATGCTAAGACAGACGAATTAATCTGTGATGTGTTTTCTTCGTGCCACGCGTTCCCTCTTGTTTGTCACCACGGCGCCTTGTGGCGTACCATCAGCCCCCTTTCACTCGCCCGGTGTGCCCCCAGGTGCCTCACGATCACATCGCGTACCGGTACGAGATTCTGGAGGTGATTGGTCGCGGCAGTTTTGGTCAGGTGATCCGCGCCTTGGACCACAAGACCAACACCCAGGTGGCCATCAAGATTATCAGGTACGACGCTGGGTGCGGCCGGTCGCCAACCGCTGCGCCGGTTGGCCGTGTCAGTCAACCTCCGTCTAACAGATCACGTTATGCGGTGTCGGAAAGGAGGATTTTCGTGTTACATGTTGCTGGTCTGACGCGTTGTTATGTTGGCTAGACGCAATCCGTACGCAAAAAAAAGCTGGCATTTCAGAGAAATATTTACATCTTAGCATTGTCACTGTGCAATTCAGGTGCCCTTAACCCGCGCCCGGCTGGGGGTCCTGGATTTCCACGCCCTGCTGGGGGGGGGGGGTGTTTGAACACCCCCCCTTCTAACTCGGCTCCTGGGCCACGTAGCGATACGCGGAAGGCGGCGTTCGAAAGAGCGTCAAAAATAATGACGAAATCACTTCGGTCAATTTTTTGGTCAGGTCAAAGGTCAGGTCACCAGAGGTCATTGAAGGCAAAATTTCGCCGATTTCCAGGTCGAATGTCGAAAATTTCCAAGAAGCCAACGCATAACTCGGGAACCAATAGAGCTACAGCGCCGCGGAAAAGCGCATTCGATAGCCCTATTAACGCCCTTTCTGAGTAATTCTCTCAGATTTGACCTAACGTCAACGGTTTTGCCTGCAGGGGGCAAAAACTGCAAAAATAGCCGATTTTTTCGGAAACAGTTTTTCTGCAATAACTTTTGACCCAAGCCTTGTACGAGCTTACTTTTACCGGCATCGTGTTCCTCTCGTCAAGACGCATCGAATGAACTATAACTTGACCTTGAAAGGTCAACTTGAAAATTTGACCTCAGGTCAAGGTCATGACCTGACCGGAAAGGGTCATGTTGCATATCAGTCGATCCGTATCGTCGAGCTGAACACATCTAAGGTGTTTTCATCGCTCTAGCATGCCTCTATCAAAAGTTATTTGCGAAAAACTGTTAGATACCATTCGTGACCTAAGATGACCTCAGGGCATAAACAGGGGTCACGGACACCATTTTCATGTTCAGTGTGTCTAAACCACTTGTAATTCAGTGTTTGGGAGTGTTTATAATGTCTTTCGTCCGAAAGAGACGCATTTCAATTTTCTCCCATTGACTTATAATGGGGAGGTCGCAAAATTGACCTGACCTTAGGTCATCGATATCAAAATTCTGAGATATACATTTTGTACATGCTATTGCTCTTAGCAATCGCTGAAAGTTTCAAAGCGATCGGTCACTCGGTGTAGCTATGACAGACATTGAAACTTTTTATGAGGTGAGGTCACTTCAAGTGACCTGGTGACCTGACCTTGAATGACCTCGGTCTGAAATTTTCACAACATGTGTAGAATTGATGCATGATAAGGTGTACCAAAAACGGCGGCGCTCCGCGCCGCCGTTTTTGAGATATTCGCGAAAAACCACAAGGGGGGGTGTTCAAACACCCCCCCCAGCAGTGCGCGGGTTAATGCTTTATGTCACTGTGCCCCCTTTGCTTTATTATTTCATCTGCCATTTCGGATTGTCGTACCTGATAGCTCTGAGTATGTTAATTGTGGTCCAATGTTTATTCTCTAAACAGCTTCATCTTACTACGCCGTGATGCGTATAGTTTCTGCACGTGTAGCATTAGTACTCCGCTATTGTCCGCCGGTCTCCGCCTTGTCGCCATTGGAGTGGATTAGGGACCGCCGCGTGAATGCGGGAACACAGACGGTGGGCTGTGGGCCAAGGACCAGCGGCAACAGGCGCCCCGAGGGCCGCGACAGTCGGTAACAAGCTTCCGGAGCTGGGTTCGCGCCGGTCGCTAATGAGCACTCCTTGGAGCGGGCCGGCGGCGGCACGGCCCGCCTCGTCAGCACCTATCGATTGGGTACCGGAGAGGCCGCCCGACACGGTGGCTGGGCTCTTGTGACCACCATTACATCTGGAGTCCGGTCAGACTTCGACCAAAGTAGAACCGACCTAACCTGACAGGATTTGACTCAGCCAGATCGGACAGGATCCGACCTGATCGGATCTGACCGGATCTGACCGACCTGATCCGACCCGACCCGACCCGACCCGACCCGACCCGACCCGACCCGACCCGACCTGACCTGACCGGAGCTGACTTGCTCTGAAAAAAGAGCAAGTCAGCTCCGGTCAGGTCAGGTAAATGGTATTAGACTCACTAGGACTTAATACCATTTTCTTGACGCACCGCCCATCTCTCTCTCGGACAGGAACAAGAAGCGGTTCCACCAGCAGGCGCTGATGGAAGTGACAATCCTGGATCACTTGAGGCGGCGGGACAAGAATGGCGACTACAACGTCATCCACATGCTCGACTACTTCTACTTCCGCAACCACTTGTGCGTCACCTTCCAGCTCATGGGGTGAGTTTTCAGACTTCCACAAACTTATCTCGACGGAAACTACCCGAACGTGAGCTCTCAAAATGTCGGGAAGTGACATTATCAGACTTCCATGAATGCGAGTCTATCACAATGCTTCTACATGTCGCGCACCCTTTGTCTCCATCTCTTTCCCCACCTGAGACCCTGCAGAATTCCGCTCATATAGGTACGCCGAGCTTTCCCCGACAAATACAGCTCCCGCGCTCGGAGCGGCATTATTGGGACGTGTCTGGATCGGCGCCTTTATTAGACGAGTGGCACACACACAGCGGCGGCGCATCCTGGACGAAAGTAGCGCTACTGGGGCAACACACAAGCGGCGGCATACTTTCAGGAACACAGTGGGAGCGCAGCGAGACCCGGCCGACCGGCGTGCGAGTCACGTCGCAGAAAAGTCTGCCGGTGTCGGTCGGCGTCTTCCAGGTACCACGCAGTTAGGGCCTGTCGGTTTACAGGGCCGAATGGTGTGCTGCGTAGAAGGAAACCTGACCCTGAAACGGCGCGTCCCCGGCTACGGGGTACAGCGGAGAGTGATGAGTGACACTGAATAGACCATTAGAGACAGAGAGATGGTTGAAATGTTCTAATAAAGAACGGATAGGTACTGAGGTAGGCATGTTCTGCGCACTGGTAGAGTGGCGTCAGGTGCATTCTTCCGGGACGTTGGCTCTCATTAGGTACATAGGGTCATGGAAGAACTGAGCAGTAATGTTTGATGATAAAATAACTCGAAGCAATGGAAATACCAAAGATGTGCTTCGCTGACTTTTCATGACGCTCCATATCATGGGCAAAGTTTTAAGTTTCACTGATCTATCAAAGAAAGCGCTTTTTAGTTTGGCACGGAACTCGTTCAAAGTAAGGTTCGTATTCTAGGCCAATGTCCTCAGGCTTGACCCTTTTGATATCACGCGCGAACTGATTTTATTAGCCGGCTGTTAGGAGCTTGATGTTCATCCTTTTTTCAAGGTGTTATTCGAGTGAGCGAAACTTGGCCCGAGTGGCACTTGAGAATAAACAAGCGGCGCGCTCGCAGAGAGCATAATTAATTTTCGGCCGCTTAATAGGAAATGAACTTCTGGCGCCTTAGCTCATTCTGCGATTTCACTGCCTATGCTCGTTACCTGCTGCGAAGTGATAACATTTGATGGCTGTTTCTAGGTGTGAGTGATGAAATCAAGTGGTTTTAGGCTCACCTAGGCAACACACATAATTATATGCCACGCAACATCGTTACGGTCCAAGGCGGACATGAGGACAGGTGGCGCCGCCGCCACTCGCATAGCGGCGGGAATGTGAACTAACCTGTTTACCATAAGGCCGCTGTGCTAACGGCCGCTGCGGGCGCCGTTTCGGGCTAGTTTTGACTTTGTACCGCAATTAATGGTTTATTTATAATAAAAAATGGACTAGCGAGAGTCGTGCCGGAATCAGAATTCAATGTTCTACAAAACTAAGCCATTTTCATTGTGATCACGTCATCGACTTCACCGCCCAACCCAATAAAGCAGAAATATGTCGTGTCACCGGTGATTACACGCAAAATTTTTTTGGCATATAGCATAAAAACCAGAACACCTTTGACTGCAGCGACTATGCGGTACTACGGAAAATTGTATGGCCTACCTAATGGTGCCCATTACTTAATAACTAAGCTGAGTATTTCGTCGCCTAACTCTTGTAAAACCGTATGTCCGCTTGTCTATGGAGTTTGGACCGTAACGTCCATTAGCTGTCACTTTCTGCACAAAATCGCATCACGACGTCAATTCGTAATTTCATTTATATGTAACTTGATTATGTTCCCGATTCTGCTGCAGGTTGAATCTTTTTGAGCTCATCAAGAAGAACAACTACCAGGGCGTGTCGATGTCGCTTATCAGGAAGTTCGGCACCTCAATAGTGCAGTGTCTGCGGTTGTTGTCCAAGGAGGGCATCATCCACTGCGACCTGAAGCCGGTGAGTCCTGCTGTCAACCAGACCGTCCCAAACGTCATTCACCAGAGCTGTGATCGCTGATGACTGACCGAATTTGTCGCTCACATGTCTGGGCGTACAGCAGATGACAGATGAAATAGCTATGGTCTGTTTCTCTGATGACGACTTTGAAGTTTAGCTGACGGTAACAGCGAAATCGATTGGGCTTTATGCATAGTAACAATCAGGGTTGGCATTTTTGCCGGCAAAAACTAGTTTATGCCATTTGCCGGTTTAAACCGGTTTTAACCGGCAAAAAGTGGCAAAAACTGGCAAAAACTCAGAAATATCACAATGCTATGCCTAGACATGATTTTAAACAGGAAACATTTTAAGGAGAATTCGGTGAAAGCTTTATGCTTTCAAACAAAAGTGACATTGACCATTGAAATGTTTCATACCTAACTCAGAAATATTTTCATGGGCTATCCATAAGGAGCTAGTAAGATGCCTTTTGGGGGTGACAAATGAGCCAGTGCAAGGGTGACTGGGTGAGTCCTGCACAATCAGAAGTGCGAAGAGGTATCTGCCACTGATTGCGCACGGCACCGCATGACACCCTACTTAGGTACCGTGGCCGCCTTGTCCCACTCTCCCCTACATGGAAATACATTCCGTTGTAGATATCTACCGACATGCATAGACATTTTAAGCAGGGATAAGTAATGAGGCAACTTCAGAATGTTTAGTGCATCTATATAACTACCAGAAATGCATTTGTACATTTCAAATCCATTCCTAACTGTAAGGTGTGTCGCGGTGTGTTTGTTAAGGTGTATCGCGGTATGTGCCTTTTGGTTTATAGCTAGAAATTCGTGTAGCGGTATGTTCTTTATGTTTTCGCTCGCCTTTTGACTCGCCTTTTGACATTTAGAAACACGTCGAGGTCAGCGTAGTCAGAACCGTAAGTCACTGTCGCCCGATCGATTTTAGCCTCAGACCGGGTGACAGGACTTATCCACCTTCGGGCGAGTATATAACCGCAGCGGGGAGTGAGAACGGGGTCAGTGCCTGTACGCTGACCAGGCTGCAACGCTGCACCCGACCTCATCCACGCTGCTGGTAAGCTGGCTCGAAGGTAGGTTCCGACTACGCAGGGATGCTGTGCGGGCTCAAGGCACATCCCATAGATAGGTAGGAGCAAGCGGGTGGAGGGTTAGGTTAGCATGCGTGGCGTTAGGGTATTGTTAGGGTAGATTGCGTTCGCGGTAGGAAATAGGCTTCACGTCAAATTAGCGCAGTCCGTTATGACCACATCACGAAATTATGAACAATAAATGGGGCGTTGAATTGACCAGATGCTTTTGGTAACGGGATGAGTCGGAGGAGAACGGTGATTGAGCGGAGTCTAACTTTATCGGTACATTAGTAAAGTCATCAATGGCCAGGAGCTTCACTCCTAAACCCATAAGGGCGCGCTACCAACCGCGGCGTGCCTCAAAATGGCGGAGTGATTCACACTGGTACCACGATGCATTGTAACTTAACGTAATATAGTAGAATTAGACATTGGGATGTTCGTGGCCCGAGTGGCAGTCGGGCACAGGCTGGGAGACGTCTCAGCCTAACACGGACATCAAGTAGAGTAGTAGTAATACAATCAGAGGGGAGGCTGCGAAAGGCCAAAAGGACCGGCTCGAGCCCCCCTACATAAATGGTGCTCATCGGCCGGGAAACGTTCTTTCAAGTGAAATTCGAGGACTGAACAACGTTTTTCATCCGGTTGGTCAGGCACGCCATTACGTAAGACTTAAACTGCATTAATGAAACGCCCTGCCGTAATAACTCCGAAGCGCTTGTTAGTACGTGGTTTTGTAAATCTTAAACTGTGTAAACAAACGGCTAACAGTAAGTCGTAAAAACGTTTTTCATTTAATCCTGAGCAATAGGATCTTGGTATGGGGTACGACGCTAACGTAAGACTTAAACTGCATTTGGCGAGACGGCCCACAGTAAATCCAGCGCGCGTGTTCAGTACGAGATTTTGTAAATCATAAATTGTAAAAATCAAACGGCTGATAGTAAGTCGCAACGATCGAATGAATCTTGAAAGAACGGTTGATGTGCCATTATTCTAAATTTATTAAATTTACTCCGCTCAATATCCGAACTTCTAGGAACAATCGAGCCAGACCAGCAGCCAAAATTGTTAGGCAAAAGCTTGCTATGACTGCAATAAAAATGAGAAACAATGAAAACTTGAGTGAGTGACGAGTGATATTGGTGAGAAGCGAGAGTGTAGAATGTTGCGAGTCGCTAAGAAGGAAAAAGTTTCTCGAGCTGGTGCGAGTATGTTAAATGAATAAATGATGCATTTCTAGAATGGAGAGTGTAAGCTGAATGAAAGAATGAAAATGGAATGCGAGTTGTGAGTATGTTGATATTAGATGGACAATGCCTATCTGAAGTTGAGTGAATTGTGAGTATGTTGAGCGAAAATGAAGGATTCGCCTGAACTTAGCATGCAATGAAAATATGTAAATTCCCATCTCGATCGTAACATTCACATATTTACGATTAGCGGGAGGCTTGTTTTGATTAACTCAGTAATGTGTGCATTGTTCATTTACTCATTTTTATTGGATAAATTATTGCCTTCCCATAAAAATTATTCATTTAAATTATACCTTTGTACTGCATAAAACTTTAACTGTACTGTTGATGCATGTTTTGGGTTCCTTTGTTTTGCCCGCCATTCTATTTCAAAATTGCAATGAAATGACACTTGATTTAACATGTATCAGCTATATTGCCTTTGTGACAAATTAGAATAAGGTGATTCAACCTAACAGTCGCGGAAATTTTCGATGAGTGAAAGACTAAGATTTAATTTAGATTTAACCATGTTAAAAAGGACTTGGTCATAAAGATATGAAATGATATATTATATGTATAGCATAACCTCTGCTATTGACGCCTTCCCGACCAATTAAAAATAAGGTAGAGTATTTTGTGTTCATTCAACTTCGCAGTCGCGAAAGATCCTAAATTATCGGAAAACTCAATCAGATTTCGCTACAATGATAAATCACCAAATGAACTATAACGGCTGGGACATAAAGATCTGCCAAATGAATTTCAGATTACACATCATATTATCTAATTTATCAAAAAGATTGTAAAAAAGTTGTGTATTTCAATGCAATCGTGAAATTTCCCCCTAATATTGATTGGATATAACGTTTTATCATACGGTTAAATATGTAGGTACATAAAAATGAACGTAAGATTCGTTAATATTTGAAGTATGAAAAGGGGTTTGTCATTGGTTGTAATTTCAATAATTGGTAGATTCATAATACTCGACTGTAATTGCTATCTGGCTATCACAGAATCACCGTGAGAATGGCATACCGGCTATCAATGTTTGTAAAAAAAGGTATAAGCTTTTTGTGGGCATTTCGACACAACTTTCGCAAAAAGTTCTACGATTATTGGGGGGTTTTATTCAGAATTTGACGGTTTCATCATGCAATTAAGAGTATAAAATCGGAGGTTGCAATTTTCAATATTCGGCTTATAAAGGGGATAGATTCGTTAAAGGTTTCTCACGATGGCTGCAGAATACACTAGAACAAACGCAAAGCTCCAATATTGCTATTGATTAAACTAAGTGACTGCTATCTTACGTTCTCAGAATGGCCCGAGAACAGCGCATGATATATCGTGTAAAATGGCCTATTTCACGAACAAATGAAATTAGCAGTAAAAAAAAAAAAACTGAATCATAAGCAGTAATCACCAGCGTTTAATATTAGTAAAGATATTCAGTACTTAAATGTCGTATTTTCTCAATCGTATGCTACATTTACTTGCAATGGTTTCGACCATCAAATGATTTGCAAACGCGCTTATTTCAATCATTAGATATTGTGACTTATTATTTTACCGTTATTACCGTTGATAATTTTACTTTGCCAAAATAAGAGTATCAATACCGGTCACATAATATCGTTCTTACCTACAAACTATCTGGCTGGTAGCAAGTTAAAATCACTTACATATACCAATAGGGCCAGAGGTTACGTAAAATCGAATTATACATAGTTGGCATACTGCTTATAAATGGTAAGGTGTAAATCCCGGCATTTACAAGCTTTGGTGAAACAGACTCTTGGTAACCAGTTAAAATACTGGTGATGATCGTAAAAAGATTTATGGTAGTCGCGGCGTGAATTTGAGAGATCGACATCTAGTACGTACAAATGTGAAAACACGTCAGTCAGCCATATGGCTTGTCCGATGCAAAACACGTCAATTACCCATGCATATGGGTTGTCCGATGCAAAACACATCAGTCAACCATATGGGCTGTCAGATGCAGAACCACGTCCCACGTCAGTCATTCGTGGTCAACATGTGGCAAATTGCAAGTGCGAACAGTCAGATGCAGAACCACGTCCCACGTCAGTCATTCGTGGACAACCTTGGGTTGCCAATTGCAAGTGCGAGCTGCCAGCAGCCAGCTGGTATACGATTTGCCTTTTACAAAGTTTTAACTGTAGCACTTCTGTTTCAAATAGAGAAGAAATCCAAAAAGCATGTATGTATTTACTTATGAACCGATACTCGATAGTTATAAATAATACCATCAGCTTATTGTCACCTGGGTGAATTGTTTTAGATCGTAGCTGAGGGCACAGATTTAGCTACATAAATGCACAAAGAAACACAGAATGGTCGATGATTGCAAGAAAATATGATATGAATAGGTTTATTTTGTTACATTTTATTCATAAAAGATTATTTAAGTAGGTAAATATATTTAATATGTCATAAAATATGACCTATGCCGTAATCAATGGTGTCTCAATTCGGAACTTTTCTTTCGGATCAAGCATTTTCGTTGATTTCCCCTAATGAAGCTCTAACGTACCCTTCTTTAATACTCGAGCAGCGCCACTCGAAACAAATTTCAGAATTTCATCGGCGCCCATCATTGCAGTCTTGATGCTAAATGCAACGCGTGCGGTGACACTGAC